CAATCACTAAAATATTAGGCCTGCAAAGTTGAGTTGATTAATCAGTTACTCGAAAAGCAATTAGAAACCTTTTGATCAACTAAAGCACTGCCCTGGGTATTATGTATGTAATGCCAGATATATGCGTATGGGCGTGGTTTTTAACACAGGTACTTATGAAATTGTGAGCGGGAGTCTCAGAAGAGTCATTCTCCTTTCTCTTACCTGAAGAAGAGAATGCCTCTTTTTAGACGGTGCCTACTGCAATAGATATTTGCTTAATAAAAAAGTAAAAGCAGTCTTTTCCTTCAAAACTTGTTTTATTTATAGAAAGATCCAATTGATTAATCAGCTATGAGTCCTTTGTTATTGTTGACAGCCATATCAGATACACCACCCATATTTTGTAGTTCTGGGCAAAGCAATCTGACCCTCAAGGAGCACCAATTTTCACACGTTACACTGACACCTGCTCCACCCAGAGGTCATTTCGGGGGGGATCGCAGTTCCCCCGGGTGAGGTATGGGGGGCCGGGCACATGACGAAGCCCCGCCCCCTGCTTCCGGCCGCCCCGCTTCCAGCCCTCATTCAGCCAGGAGGAGGCAGGAGAAGAGGGAGGGTAAGTTGCTTCCTCCCTGCCTCTCCCCACCCCTGCCTGCCTGGGGCCAGGGAGGGCCTTTGCGGGGCTTCCTTGCACTCCCGCCAGCCTTGCAGGTCCACCGCCGGGCCCCTCATGGGGCTCGGCAGTGGAGCTGCAAGGCCGCCGACGGCGGCTGGGACCGTTGGGGGCGGGGTGTGTGGCCTTATGACACACTTCCGGTGATGTCAGGGGGTGTGGCCTTATGACACACTTCCGGTGATGTCAGGGTGTGTGGCATATGCTAATGAGTTATGCTAATGAGTTCCCCTAGCTCTTTTTCTACGAAACGACCCCTGGCTCCACCCCAAATGATGCCCACGTGGCACTATGCATTACCTAATCTGCATTAGCACTTTATGCTATGTTTTATAGTAATTTTGTTGTGGTTTTATTGAATTTTGTGTTTTAGTTGCTCAATATATTTTATGTAAGCTGCCCTGAAACCTGCCTTGGCAGGGAGGGTAGGGATACAAATCAAATAAATAAATAATACCTAGGCGTTCCCATCACCCAGCTTCCTCTGGAAACCGTTCCCCTGCCTTCTCCCCTCCCCTCCCCAACCCCGGACAGCAAGCAGCCCCAGCTGTGCTCTTTGGCTCACAGCTGGACAGAATCAGAAAAACAAAGCCCTGAGCAAGGGGTAGGTGTCTTTGAGTACATATTTTGTCTGCAGATTTCTGCAGTGAACCTGGGAGGAAAAGGGTTGGCTGAGAGATGGGTCAGGCCGCGATTGGATGCCTTTTGCTGTGGCTCAGTTTGCTGAATTTGTGTTGTGTGAAGTGGCTCACTGGAATAATGCAAAGTATGTAGGTTCTATATCGGTTTTTACCAAAGGTGAAGAAATAGTCCGGCACCTAGGCCATTTGCTTAAATGTCTTTAAAAGGGGATTAAATAAATTCATCAGAGGATCTGTTACTGGTTGTTCCAGGGCAATATACTTAGTGCATTTTTATCCCACCTTTCCTCCAGGGTGCTCAAGACAGCATATGTGGTTCTCCCTGCAATATGCACATGGAATACTAATTCTTGGAAGGCAATAGTGAGAGGCTGCCTTGCCTTTCTTCCAAGCAGGTGTGGGGGATTTGGTTGGCCACTGATTAGATAGACCTTTGGACTGATCCAGTGTGGCTAGGGATGGGCACCACCCAGCTCACAAATGAAAATTTGTGATTAATTTTGGCCAGTTTGTGGTTTGTGAACTGAAGAGCCGCCATGAACGTCCACGAATTTTAAGGCAGTTCATGAAGAGCAGAAAGCAGGAGTTTAAACGGCTTGGAGCCATTTATACCCATGCCTTCTGCTCTTCATGAAAAACACTTGAGCAGTGGGGAACAGAAAGCAGGTTTTAAATGGCTCAGAGCCATTTAAACCCCTGCTTTCTGCCCCGTGCAAAAAACAGCTGAGCAGCGGGGAGGAGAAAGCAGGGGTTTAAATAGCTCAGAGCCATTTAAACTTTTGCTTTCTGCTCCCCACCTCTTTTGTGTGGGGAAACCCGTGCTTTCTGTTCCCCGTGAAAAGTTGCAGGAAGCAGAAACCAGGGGTTTAAATGGCTTGGAGCCACTTGTAAACCAACCTCCCAGTTCGTATCAGTTTTTGGTTCGCAGAAATGTAGTTCATGCTCATCCCTAGGTGTGGCTACTGTTACGTTCTCACACCTATTTTGTTTTCAGTTTGAACGAAAGGCGAGTTTAGCACGGCCTCCGAGAGTAATTCTTTGTGCTCGTGTATCATTGCCTATGTCTAGCCCCTGTATTTCCCTGCTTTCAAGAAACCAGAAGAGCTCCCCCTCCCCTCTGCTGAACTCTCATAGTACCAAAGCCTCTCAACCACAGTGCGACATTACTTTTCAGTAACATCTGCACTGCTGTTCCAGAGCACAAAACGGATAGCTGAGAAAGAAAAAGAAGGCACCAGCGTAAGGCAAGCAACTGGACTGAGCTGTGTCCAGCTACTGAGTTGGTGGCTGAACTGTGACAGAGGCGGAAGAATGCAGCACTGTTTCATAAACTTTTTGAGTTCTGCCGCCTCGCCTTCTAAATTTACTCTGACTGGCGACCATGCAGAGGTTTCTGTGCAAAACAGTCTATTTTACAGCGGAGCCAAAGAGAGAGAGAGAGAGAGGGAGAGAGAAGATGATGTGCTTAGCAGGATCCCCGCCTCTCCCTTGCGCCCACGTTGTCGGATGTCTTCAGTCTCTCTCATTCGCCCACTGAGCTTAGAACTGGACAGCTGGATCTTTTGAAGCAGGTGGCAGCAATGTTCCCTCTAAGCTGTGGAGTCTTGTGAGCTACTGGAATTAAAGTTGTGAGCAGACGATTTGGCTATTGCATAAATTAGTTTGCTCTGGAGCCATCCTTCCTGAGCTAAGACAAGAATGTGTGAGCCAGAGGCTAAAAAACTGTGAGCTAGCTCACACTAACTCAGCTTAGAGGGAACACTGGGTGGCAGGCTTGGTAGAATTGGGATAGAGAGGAAAGGAGGGAGGGTGAGATCTTGCCCAGTGGCTCCAGACGGTGGCCCAAATGGGACAAATCGAATGGTTGCTTCTGGCTGCTGGGGTTTCTGTGTCCAATCTAGAGATTGCGTCCGTGACAGGAGTAAATCACACTCTGGGAAGTCTCGGCACTAACAACCCCCCCCCCACACACACACACACGCACTCTGATGGTCGTGTCCCACAGTTGAGAAAGAAGTACACAGCTGAAAAGTTTTTGTGCAGCTTTGACTCTGAATATACAGTTATATGTAATGTTTTTTGGAACGATTGCAGATGCCAGCTGAAATTGATACATAAACAGATCATGGAACACTCTGGCTGTGATCTCGATGAACCTGTAAATAAATGAACTCGGGGGGAGAATTTTTAAAAACTAACACATCAGTAAGCGTTTAAATCTCAGTTGGTGGACAACTGAGTGTGTGTATATCCGAAGTTTTAAATGTATACCCGTGCAGAGCCACTGCCTTATTGGGAGAATGTGTGCGCGCGCACAAAACTGTATTGTCGGATTAAGTTGAAGAAATCCCTGCCCTGATGTCGATAGTCCAGGCTAGCCTGATCTCGTCAGATCTTGGAAGCTAAGCAGGGTCGGCCCTGGTTAGTATTTGGGTGGGAGACCAGCAAGGACGTCCAGGGGCACTACAGAGAGACAGGCCAATGGCAAACCAGCTCTGAATGTCTCTTGCCTTGAAAACCCTACAGGCAACTTGACAGCAAAAAGAAAAGATAAGAAACCAGCATTCTATAAAGGTAGTGTTTGTGGAATGGAGGCAACATAGCTTGAAGACGTAGGATCCAGTGATCTTGCTGGTGTTAAGCAGGCCTGGGTCTGTCCCTGATGGGGAAAAGGAGGGATGATAAAAGTAAAACAATAAACATTGACACCCCCCTGGAGTAAGCAGAGAGATTTGCTTTGCCTTAGCCGCATTCTCACCTCATTCAGTTTTCTTGCATCTCCGGTGATGGAACGGTAGGAAGAAAATGTCTGAATTGAAAGTATGGTTGGAACTGCAGACAGACTTGGTGATGAGACTGTAGCAGAGGTGCCAGGAGCCAGATCCAGTTTCTTGGGGTGGCGGGGAACCGCTCGTCGAAAAGTCTCTTGTGATATCCTCTAGGCCTGCAAGTCTTGTCTCTGAAATGTCAGAGCAGGGTATGCAAATTGCACTTGCCGTTCTGAAACTTCCAATCATCACGAGCATCCGCATCAATTATAGAGCAGTTCCCTCCTGGGATAAGCGTAGCTGGACCAAACTCTGCTGTCTTCGCTTGCTGGCAACAGCCCCCTTTCTGCTCAAAAATAATGCACAGTTCATACTGTGGGAAGGCATCGTTTATCATCTTGTTTAGGAATGGCTTCGATGCCGAAGCTTCAGTGGAGAACCTACTGGGGAAATATATAATTTGTGTATACAATGAAAGCTCCTTTAACAGTTAGGTAAACATGGGGAATTTCAGCAGATTCAGTTTTCCATCCCCCTGCTTGGCAAAGTGCACCTGTCCAGATTCCGTTTGCAACCCAAGTATTTGAGGCCCAGGATCTCTGCTGCCTTCCTTTGCAGATCTGGACCCTGGGGGGGGGGGGGGGGGGGTGAGGAGAGGCGCGCGAC